CCCCCCCTCCCAGTCCAGATCAGCCATTGCGCGAGCGCTCAAGAGCACGGCAAACTCAGTGCATGCACGCCGCACCGTGGCGCCTACCTTCGCACACTCCGGAAAGCCTGTTCCTGCCGGTCCCGACGCCACATGGTCGGCTGCCCCTGCCGGTGCCGACGCCGCAGGGTCGGTTGCCCCTGCCGGTCCCGACGCAGCAGGGTCGGCTGCCCCTGCCGGTGCCGACGCCGCAGGGTCGGCTGTCCCTGCTCGTTCTGGGGCCCGGGGTCGGCTGCGTTTTTAGGCTGGGGCTTGGGTACATGTGGCTTTAGATGGCTTTTGAAAAGCTTGACCTAATTATAGCGAGCTAATTCGCAGCAAATGACCATAGTTAGTTTGATGCGCATAGGGCCAATGAGCACTGAAATACTGAGAAATTGGAACGCCAAAAACTATCCATTCATGTTCTGCCTAAAAAGGTGCACGTTTGACTTCTACATGAGAAGCCGTGTGATAGAAAGCCACCTTGGTGACCACCGGATGATTTGCGAAGACAAGACACTTGGTACGCATGCATGCGTACCAAATTCGTGATTTGGTACGCATGCATGCACACATGAAAAGTGTTCCACCCACTACCATTTCCAAAACCGCGGTACCAAAGTACGTCCTGTTCGCAGAGATCTCCACAAAACTAGGGATATTTCTAAAGCAGCAAGATGCCCCAAATACCCGCAGAAGTCTCTGGGCAAAAAGGCTCCAGCGGCTTGCAGGGAGCCTCCTCTAAGCCTCCCTTCCCTGACATTGTTGCATGTACTGTTACTACTATCATAGCGAATAAGAGCTTTGACCACGTTGTTTTCAGTGCAGTGTTCGTCTGTGTCCCTTCCCTGAGCGCACGGCGTCTCGCAGCCGTGAGCTGTTTGCTTCAATGCCAGTATACTGCGATGCTGGACTGCAAATATTTTGTTTCGTGAGTTACAACTGCACAAAATCAACGCAAAGGTGTAAATGCCTTCATTATTTCGTGACGCTGGCAAGTGCGAAAAAAACTACATTGGACGCGAATGAAGGTCGGACCAGTGATGTCCGTGACGTACGTAAAGTCAGATATTTATTCAGCGATTTTGTCGGCAAAGGATTCCGTTTTCTCTCGGAATAAATGTCTCAGGCTAAATTAAGGCACGAAAACACCGTAAATGACCATCATTTTGTAATATCATGTGACCTTTGAGTGTCAAAAAGCTTAGGTCATCAAAAGATCGGGAAGTCGATATCACAAAATTACCCGCCGATTTGCAACTTGCAGATTCATCACAATATTCACCAGCGGCAAAAAAAAACTAGCGTCCGTCAAGAAGTCCTGCCATTTCAAGGTTCCCCTTCAAGGTGGAACGTCGGGTCAAATGACGCGGAACTCAACAACGCACAAAAATTGCCGGCTGACTTCAACCTTTTGAACATCAGAATGTTTACCACAGAACAAGAAAGCGTCTGTCGAAAAAGTCCGAACCTCTCAAGGTCATGCTACAAGATCCAATTCAGGGTCAAAAGACTGAAAAGCCCTATAACAGGAGGAGAAAATGCCTGAAATTTTAAATTTACGGACAGTTTTTCATGTGTGGTGAGCATTCTGATGTTTGCAAGCCTAAGATCGGCCAGTAACTTTCAGGTGGTATTAAGGTCCCCATCCTCTGTGCCCGCGTCTGACGATGAGCGGTGACCTTGAGAGGGTCAAAACGTTTTGTCGACGTTAGTCTCTTTTGAAGAAGATATTCCTGTTCGGGGGAAGTTTAAAAACCATCGTTAATTTTTGGATGGTATGAAATTTCCCGTCCTTTGAGCCTGAGCTTGATCTTGAAGGATGGCCTTGAGACGTCAGGACTTTTTGACGGATGCTGATATTGACTGTGATGAATATTCTGGTGTTTCTAGTTTCAGAATTATCCGGCAATTTTCGGTTGATGCTGAATACCCCGTCGTTTGAGTCAGCGTTGGATCTTGAGGGGTAACTTTGAGAGGTCAGGACTTTTTGATGGACGCTAGTTTGTTCTGTGGTGAATATTCTGAGGTTTCCAAGCTTCAAATCGGGCGGTAATTTTGGGCGATATACATTTCCTCGTCATTTGAGCTTGTGTCTAATCTTGAATAACGACCTTGTGAGGTCGAGACGCATTACGCACGCTGCTCTTGAGCTGGTGATTTTTTTTAGCGTTTTCAAGTTTAAAACTGGCCAGTGATATTTGGGTGATATTGAGTTCTCCGTTCCTTGACCACGTGTTTGAGCTTGAACGGTGACCCTCAAAAGTCAGGTCTTTTTGGCGCAAGCCATTTGCTCTTTTGCTGTGAATATTCTGACGTTTGCAAGTTTAGAATAGGTGAGTAAATTTGGGGTATTCTTAGTTCCCCGTCTTTTGAGTCCACGTTTGACCTTAAGGGGTGACATTGAGAGGCCAACACTTTTGGACGCACGCTAGTTATCGCTCTGTGGAATATTCTGATAGCTGTAAGTTTAAAATCGGCCGATAATTTTGCGATGATATGGGATTCCCCGTTCTTTGATCCCACGTCTACCCTAACGATTGACCTTGAAAGGCCGGGTCATTTTGGCAGACGGTAAATTCTGAATTTGTAAAAATTTTGGCGTCTTCATACTCAAATCGGCCGGATTTTTTTTGCGATGTTGAATTTACCGTCCTTTGTGCCCACGTTTGAACTTGAAGGATGTCTTTGAAGTATCAGGGCTTTTTGACGACCGCTAGTTATTTTTATGGCGAACAACTGATGTTTGCAAGCCAAAAATCGGCTGGTAATTCTTAGGTGATATTGAGTTTCTGCTCCTTTAAGCTCGTGTTTGACCTTAAAGGATGACATTTAGAGGCGAGGACTATCATGACCATGAATATGAGGAATATGAGGAATATGAAGACTATGAGGACTCTGAGGACAGCATATCAAGCCTCCGTCCTTTGACCCAGCTTTTGACCTCGAAGATAACATGATATTGCAAAATAAAGGTAATTTTCAATGTTCGCGTGCGCTCGCTCAAGGCGAAACCTTTTGTCAGAGAAATCAGCACTTGTCGCTGAATAAATCGCCGAAGAAATCGCCACCTTTACGGATATTTTGATGCCCCGTTGATCTCACATACCTCAGAACGGAACGCAGTAGCTCGCTTGGGTCAGATATGCGTGCGGGGAAGCCATCGAGGGTGACGCGCTACTCGTGTGTCCGGGTCCGGGCAGCGCTCCGGGTTGGGGCAGGGCCGCATCCTGGAC